AGGTATCCCAGTATCCCACCGGTATCCCAGTATCCCAGAGGTATCCCAGTATCCCACAGGTATCCCAGTATCCCACCGGTATCCCAGTATCCCAGAGGTATCCCAGTATCCCACAGGTATCCCAGTATCCCACAGATATCCCAGTATCCCAGAGGTATCCCAGTATCCCACGTGGATCCCAGTATCCCAGAGGTATCCCAGTATCCCAGAGGTATCCCAGTATCCCACCGGTATCCCAGTATCCCGCCCGTATCCCGGGGCGCTCCCTCCCGTTCCCGCTGTGTGTGCAGGGACACTCACGTGAGCCCCGATTCCCTGGAAATCCCTTTGTAGGGCTGCGTTTCCCAGCAGAGGGCACACGGAGACCGGGAATGTGGGATGGAGTCGGGCACAGCAACCCCTGGAAAGGGCCCTGGGGGTGCTGATTCCTTAAGCCCTTACAGTGCCCGGTGGCAAATGTCTCCCGAGGGTTTCCTTGTTCTGTGCAGGATGAAAAGGAAGCAGAAACTGTTTGTTTTGGGTGTTTATTGAGGTATTTGGCAGAGGGGGAGTGTCCTGCACCGGTGGGTCTCCATATGTAAAAAAGGCTGAGAATTTGCTGAAGGAAGGATTTCAGAAAGCTGGTAAAGTTTATGAAAATCACAGAATCGTGAGGTTGTTGAGGTTGGAAAAGGTCTCCCAAGATAATCAGGTCCAGCCATCCCCCAGCACTGACCCAACATCCACAGGGCTTTTAAATCCCCCCAGGGATGGGCACCCCCCTCTGCCCTGGGCAGCTGTGCCAGGGCTGGACAGCCCTTTCCAGGAAGGAATTGTTCCCAGTCTCCCGGGTGCCCCTGCCCTTCTGTTGTGCTGGGCAGCAGGAGGTGTCCTTGGTGCTGCCCTGGGCTCTGCAGAGCCCTGCTGGCACAGAGCTGGAGCCAAAGGGGCACGTGAATGTCCCAAACCATTGGAACAATGCAGAGGAGAAACCTTCCCGGGTGCCTGGGCAGCTGGACAGGCACTGAGAGGGGAAGGAGCTGCTGTGACTTCACCTCCTGGAGGGAGCCCAAAGCCAGGAGTGCCTGGGCCTGGGAGGTCACCTCATGCTCACCCTGCATTCCTGTGCCTGGCTCCTTTGGGATCATCAGCTGCACTTCTATCACCCTGACCAAAGGGCCAGGGCAGCACAGACCCTGCTGAGTCATGGCTGTGCCATTCCAGGCAGGAATCGGGCTGGATCCCCTGCCAGGCACTCCCAGGGGAAGGGGATGGGGCGGAGCAGCCGAGCTGGCCCCGCTCCGCGGTCCTGGGGCAGTGCCAGGAGGGAATGGGAAGGGGTTGGGAGCCTCTGAAAATAAAAGTCACACCAGCCTGCTCTGCCACTGAGAGCTGGAGATAAATAAGAGCAGAAACTGGGCTCGTGAAAGCTTTTTCAAAGTCTGAAATTGTTAATTAGTGTTAGTCAGAGAATCACAGGATGGTTTGGGTTGGAAGGGACCTTAAAGTTCATCCAGTCCCACCCCCTGCCATGGGCAGGGACACCTCCCACCAGCCCAGGTTGCTCC